TGTTTGCTGTGACATGACAGAATCCCCCTCCCCACATCCACCCAAGGGTGATACTCCTGGAGTTGCACACCAAAAAACACTGACTTGAAAGGCGCTCGTATCATTGACCTTGGACAGGAACATGGCTTGAGAGGCCGTATCGTTGACATCAGACAGTAACTTGACTTGGGAGGCCGCCTCGTCAACCTCAGACAAGAACTGTACCACAGAGAGATGACATGATATCCCTAGCCTGGCTTGAATGAAGAGCAATGGAAACTGCACAGTCAGCCAGAGGAATGAAACTCAAGGTGGACCGTGATAAGGATGCGACATTCCCCATAAAGCTAGAGGGGGGAGCGAAGTTCTCTGTGATGTCCGAGGGAGGAGCAAAGTTTGACGCGAGGCCTGCAGGAGAAGTCATGCTCTTTGCGAAGCATGAGGAGGGAGCAATGTCCTCCGTGGAGCAGAAAGGGGGAGCAACATACAGCACAAAGCAAAGAAAAAGAGCAATGACTTCACTTCCTTACTGGCTCGAATAGGGAGAATTTACCCTCCATCTCCCACCTTGGCTTTTCCCTTTCATAAAGGGCCTCTTGGACTTGGAATAATTCTGCTGCATCCATGTTACAGCGAAATATTCTGAAATATTCGGACAACAGAGAGAGCTTGTACATCTCCAACTCACTTGAGATATTTCAGGGCCAGCAGAAGAGCTACCTTTAGAGTCAGACGTTTCTCAGAGGCTGACTCTAAGGGCTCAAATGGGACACCTGACAGACCTTTCAGGACCACAGAAAGGTCCCAGGAAGGTATACTCGGCCTGCAGATGGACCTCAGCCACCTGACACCACGCATAAACCTCAAAGTTAGAGGATGTTGCCCCACAGAGGCTCCATCAACCGGTAAACCCTGATTGTAGAAGCTCATTGAGAAACATCATTGTAAGAACTCCAGGATTGTAGCTATTGCGCAGTTCACAGGATCTAGCTGGCGCTCCTCACACCACAAGACAAAAAGCCGCCACTTGAGTGCATACAATTTCCTCATGGATGGTGCCCTAGGGTTCAACATGGTCTCTACAAACTCAATTGTGAGACCAGAATGTATGAGCTGGTGAGCCTTAGGGGCCAGACCCACAGTTTCCATAGTTGTGGCCCTGGATGATAAATAAGCCCTCCGGCTTGAGACAGTAGATCCCTGCGGATGGGAATCTCCCAAGGAGTGCTATATAGCAGAGATATTATCTCCGAGAACCATATTCTAGCTGGCCACTACACTGGGGAAAGCATACTTTTCTGAGGTTCAACCTGAGCCCCAAGCTCTTCATGTGGGTGAGAACAACATCTCGATGTTGAACCGCCAGTTCCCTGGATTGTGCTAGAATTAACCAGTCATCAAGGTAGTTTAGTACACGGATGCCCTGGAGTCACAATGGAGCCAGAATGACATCCATGCACTTTGTGAAGATGCGAGGGGATAAAACTAGCCCGAAGGGAAGAACCAAATCTTGGCTATGTGGAAATATGCACCTTTTAGATCTATTGTCACAAACCAGTCCTCAAACTAAATCTATGGAATGATAAGTTTGGGCGTCAGCATCTTGAACTTGTATGTCCGAAGTGTACAGTTCAGATGACAGAGATCTGAAATTGGCGGTATACTCCTCTATTATTTGCAGACCAGGAAATAATGGCTGTAAAAACCTCCTTCCCTCAGGAAACAGGGAACATGTTCTATGGCCCCTTTGTCCAAGAGGGATCTTACTTCCTGCGCTAAAATCGGACTCTGGTCTGTGCTGACTACTGTGGTGAGCACACCTCTGAACTGGGTAGATCAAGCTCTAAACTGGACCTGGTAACCCTTTTCTACGGTAGACAGAACCCATGGAGACACATTTGGCAGTAGTTTCCACGTTGCCAGACGGTCTTTTAGTGAAGTTAACTATTCCACATTCTATTGGAGGGAAAGCATCAAATTTTCGTTTCCCTGTGATAGCTCGCTGAACAGAGACCACTGAAAATTTCAGACAGCCTTGGCTAGGGGAAGCCCTACAATAGTACTGGGGGCTAATTGCCCTAACAACCTCATGTCCCATGATACATCCCTCCACGGCCCCTCAGCACGGCCCCTCTTCTTTGTCTGCTTGGCCTTTATGACCATTCTCAGATCAGGCCTAGTAGCAGGCCGCGACTGTGGCTGCCCGGTTCCCCTGGCTGTCTGCGGGGGTTGGAAAGCTGCCATACACGCCTTCTGTGTTCTAGCGCTGGTGAACTCGACACAACAGGGAAGGAACTGGCTGAATGCCACCATATGTGCTCATTCAGTAGGTCTGCTCGGTAGGCCTGTAACACTGTCATTGTCTGCAGTAATCCACAAGCAAGACTACTACTGCATAGGCCTTGCCCACCAATGACACGGTAGGCATACATGGTGGCTTGGATGGCAAAGCTGGACCCCCTAATTACCTGCTGTCGATGGAGAAAGGTATCTCACAAGCGACTCCTCCACCTTCAGCATAGCCATGCCGTTCATTCCCCACAATAGCTGAATAATCCAACATCGTGGGGTTATAAATACAGCTTGTGCATGGTTTTCCCCCCAGAAGCCTGATATTTTGTCATGCACTTCTGGAAGAAAGGGGAGTTTTCTGCTGTGTGAGGGATTTACTTTCACTGGGGAGAAAAAAGCTCATCCAGCCTTAGTAATCACTTCAAGCAGCTCTTTATATGCTGCTCTCAGTTTTTAGTACACCCTTCTGGCTCCTCGGAGTCAGAGAGGAATTATTACTACTATTTTTGTGTGTGTGTGTGTGTGTGCGTGTGTGTGTGTTTTTTTTCTTTTTTTCCGCTTTCCATAACGGAAGGAGGAGTAGTGATGCGAGCTCCGAAATCCAGCGGAGAGCCGGACCCGGAAGACAGAGCAAGAGATAGAGGGGCGCAATGTCTCTGGCTACTGTTCCGAATCCATAAGAGAGCCCCCGGATGCCTCAGCAGCAGCTGGCCCAGATCCGTGAGGCTCTGAAACCCAATTTGCTTCGGCTTCTGAGAAGAGAGCAAGTCACAAGCGGAGCTGCCTAATGTAGGCATTATAATTCGCATTATAATAAGGCTGACGGCGCGGTTCACAGGTGCCTTGTATATATCACACGACGTGTTTAATTGCCACGTCACCTGATCACGGCAAGCCTATAAACATACATAATTTTACACAAGCTTCACTTGCTGGTCGCACGCAAGGGTGCTCTCATAGTGTTATGCTAGACGCAACGTGGAGTTCCCTTTGAAAGGGAACAGTTGATTGGCAAACAGGCATTAACTAGGCTAAACAAGAATCGAATAATGGTGAATGGTAAAGGTGAGAACAAGATCAAAAATATAAAACACGAAACGAGGAATAAAGGCTTGGTATACAGAAAACAGACATAATAATTTGCAAAGTACATAGAAACATGAGGGGTTTAAATACCAAACGTAATCAGGAGTGAAACACAAAACAGCTGAGAACATTGATGACACATAAGGGAAATAACCAATGACACGAAATAAAACCGGAAGCGCGCACTCACTCTTCGAGGCACGCTGCATATTCCTGTGCTAGCGTGAGGGGAAATCATGAGACATAATGCCTCCACTGTCTGGTTGAGGAGGCATAAAAATCACTTGTGAAAATAAATTAATCTAAAATAAAAAAAATGTAAAAATTTTTTTTTAAATTGATCATGTGAGAAAAGCTTATGTGAAAATAAATCACATCCTCCAGCTGAGGAGAAGGATGATGATGTTGATGATGACAACAACACTGCTTCGTGCAGCTCTTGAGTGCTCATCTCGAAAAAAAAAAAAAGTCGTATGAGACCCAAACCTCGAAAATTAATTACGAACTAATATACTGACTAAGCAAATAAGTAATTTCCACTACAATGTACAAACACTATAACTATACAGAGAACTACATCCAGAATGCGCTCCAAAATTCACAACACTGAACTCTCTACTTCCTGGTCAGTGAGCTGTCAATCCAAATCTCATTGAGAGCCAATGAGAGTATATTGCTGTTAAGCCCGCCGACACGTGAGGTTTGTGCCAGAATGGCGAACATAAACTTGCGGAGTGTAAATGTTTGAAAGCCTAAATGAAAACTCTGGCAGCACATACATTAGCGAAATTAGCGATTAGCGAAAATGAAGCTTAGAAAACTGTGTAAAACAAAGAATGCTGTTTATTTACAGACCATGTTAAATTTTTGCCACCGCTTTCACTTTTTCAGTTTCAGAGTGTTTCTCTTCTCTCTCGTTGTATATTTTTGTTAAATTTGGGACAAATTTAATTCCATAGAATTTCACGTGACTTTTCTGTAAGTGAATACTGGACTAAACGGTCTGACTGCCTAAGGCCTGCAGTGGCATGATCAGACAGAGCATTGTCTCATGATCATGTTCTCTATAACTCTCTCTCCACTGTCACATTTTCAACACTCTCTACTTATCCATTCTGCTTCATTCCCCATTGGAACACTTTCCTTTCTTCTCCCTTAAACCAGAATTGATGATTATCGGCAAGTAACGGAGACCGCTGATGAAATCACCAGAAACGTTTTGAGAAAGGGAAAAGTAAGGAAAAGGTGCTCTGCTATGTGCAGTGAGAACTAACGTGTGGTAATGACGAAACCGGTGGTTATTTTATATTTACGCTTTCGGATTTCACAGCATGTCCAAAGCCTTTCTTCCTGACAAAATCTTCTCTCTAGTGCTACTCAACTATTATCGAACATGTGACATTGGCAAGGGGTGCCATACAAAATTATACTAGTCTAACTCTCCGAGGTCTCTCAGTCTCCTCATGTTACAGAAAAAAGAATCTGATACAAATTTCATGTAGCAATGTCTCATTCATTTTCTGTAGGTAAATACAGGAACTTTATTTTTAAACATTAGCAAAACTTTGTGCATTCGCTTGTGAGATTGGATTTGATATTTAAAATGGTATTTCTGCGTTTCTTTCTTCTTGTATATTTGTCTGGGCAGTGGTAGTACAGTGGTTAAGACCTTGTGTTGCTAATTGGAAGATCGTGAGTTCAAACCACAGCCTTGCCAAGCTGCCAGTGAGCAAGGCCCTTAAGTCCTAAACTGCTCAGATGTAATAAAATAAATCAAATGTAAGTCACTCTGGGTAAGGGTGTCTGCCATAATCCCATGAATGAAAGATGTTTGAAATACCCACTACCTTCTCACCTTACATCACACTTATTCAGTGTTGCTATAATTCCCACCTTAGCAAGTGCTCTAGTACCATTATTTTATAACATTCAACTTTCCTTAAAATTCTAGACAAACATAGAGGTGATGTTCTAGACTTACTGTATGTATATGCAGACTTCAGTATTATTTAGTCTCTAACCTTTAACATGATCACTATGGCTATCATGCTGAACTATGATACTATCATATTTTTACGATAGTGCTGTAGGATAACCAAGGTTATGATTTTGATGATGATATTACCACGGTTTTACTGTGGTACTTATTAAGTGATTACAAAATCAACAGGTTTAGTATGCAGTAATAACAGTGTAGCCGTGAGACATGGATCCATCACATTAATGCCCTCTTACTTTAACAGAATCAATATTTTCTAGATATTTTTAATTTTGAGGTAAGTGCCAGGGTAAATGTTTAAGTTAAGTTGCAATGCATAAAAAGTGAAATGTATTACAAATGCATTGTTAAGCATCCTGCTCTGATCATGCCTGCCACTTGACCTCCTTATTCATCATCATCATCATCAACACTTTCTCCCTGTAGATTTGATACTACTCTCACTTTCTCCATGTAGGATTGCTCATCATCATTCTCAACACTAAATGCCAACTCACCCTCACTATCATCGATCATTCCTGATATATTTTTGCAGTGTGGCAGGGTGTATTATCCTGCTAAAAGAGGTTGCCGCCATTAGGGAATGCCGTTGCCATGAAGGGGTGTACTTGGTTTGCAGCAATGTTTAGGTAGGAGGTACCACGTTAGAGTAACATCCACATGAATGCCAGAACACAAGGTTTCCCAGCAGAACATTGCTCAGCACATCACACTTCCTCTGCCGGCTTGCCGTCTTCCCATGGTGCATCCTGGCATCATATCTTCCCCAGTTAAACTACACACATGCACTCGGCCATCCACATGATGAAAAAGAAATGTGAATCATCTGGTGATTCATCAGGACACCTTCTTCCATTACACCTTCTTCCATTGCTCCAGTTCTGATGCTCATGTGCCCAGTGTAGGTACTTTTGGCACTGGACAAGGGTCAGCATGGGTATTCTGCCAGTCTGTGGCTACACAGTTCCATATGCAGCAAGATGCGATGCACTGTGTGCTCTGTGTGCGCTGTGTGTCCAGTTGGATTTTGATGTTATGGATGATCTGTGTACTTCTGTTATAGGGAAATATATTCTAAATATATCTTTACTTGCCAGTGAACATGGATCAAATTTTTATTTTGATAATGACTTGGGCATTTCTTAAAGGGACATTTTTAGTAGAGAAAATATGGTGCTACATATTCATATTTCAAACATTGCATTAATAACAACTACTATGCATTCATATTTTCACCAAAGATTAGTCAGGTATGACATAATGAGAATTGTAAAACTGTGTCAGATGAGTGAAAAACAGGATATGTATATAACCTTCGTTCTACAACCAGGTTGTTCTTTTCCAACAAGGTTACATCAATCAGGAACCGGTTCTCAACCCCAGACCGACTCTTCGGCCATGTAACTCCCAACTGACTTCCTTCTCTCCCCTCTCAGAGACTGATGTCTTGAAACTCCTCCTCTCTAGCCGTCCCACAACCTGTCCTCTTGACCCTATCCATTCTCACCTTCTTCAGTCCATCTCTCCCACACTATTACCTGAACTCACACACATCTTTAACACATCGCTCTCTACTGGCACATACCCTACCTCATTTAAGCAAGCCCGGGTTACCCCACTGCTTAAAAAAAAACATCACTCAACCCTGCAATAGTCGACAACTACAGACCTGTTTCCCTCCTCTCTTTTCTTTCCAAAATTCTTGAAAGAATTTCAAGCAGCTTTTAATCAACTCTTCAATTTTCTCACACAGAACAACCTCCTGGACACTAAGCAGTCTGGCTTCAAGAGCAACCACTCCACGGAGACTGCTCTGCTTTCTGTCACTGAAGCCTTATGACTAGCAAGAGCAACCTCTAGATCATCTGTCCGCATCCTACTTGACCTCTCTGCTGCTTTCGACACTGAACCATCAGATCCTTCTGTCAACTCTCTCCAGCCTGGGCATCACTGGAACGGTTCTGCGCTGGGTGGAATCCTATCTCTCTGACATATCCTTCAAGGTATCATGGAGGGAGGTATTTCTGAAACTCAGCAACTCACAACTGACGTTCCACAGGGGTCAGTTCTGGGTCCACTCCTCTTTTTTATCTACACTACATCTCTAGGGCAGGTGATTGAGTCTTATGGCTTCTCATATCATTGCTATGCTGATGACACCCAGCTCTATTTGTCCTTCCAGCCTGACGAACCATCCATCTCTGCACGCATCTCTGCTTGCATGTCGGACATATCAGTCTGTATGAAGGAACACCATCTTAAGCTTAACCTGGCAAAATCTGAGCTTCTCGTCATCCCAGCATGTCCCTCAATCAACCAGAACCTCACTGTATAGCTCATTCACACTCATGCCAACCAGGATGGCCAGGAACCTTGGGGTGATTCTTGATGACGGCTTGACCTTTACAGACCATATCTCAGCAACTGCAAGGTCCTGTAGGTTCATCCAGTACAACATCAAGCAAATCCAACCCTACCTCACCGAACAGACTATACAGATACTAGTACAGGCTCTTGTTATCTCTAAACTGGACTACTGCAACTCACTGCTGTCACTCACTGTCACCTTCCAGCCAGCTCCATCAAACCCCTTCAGATGATTCAGAATGCTGCAGTGCGTCTCATCTTCAACCAGCCCAAGAGAACCCATGTCACACCCCACTTCATCTCCCTCCACTGGCTTCCTGTAGCTGCCCGCATCAAGTTCAAGGCCTTGATGCTCACCTACAAGACCTTGTCAGGAACAGCACCCTCCTACCTCAACTCTCTCCTGAAGGCCTACATTCCCTCTTGCAATCTGCGATCGATTAGCGACTGACGTTTAGTAGTTCCCACTCAGCATGGTGCAAGATCCCTTTCCAGAACCTTCACGCTAACTGTTCCACAGTGGTGGAATGCACTTCCAATCTCAATCTGTACTGCAGAATCTCTCACCATCTTCAAAAAACAGCTAAAGACCCACCTCTTCCGTGAACACCTAACCAACTCATAAAAAAAAAAATAAATAAATAAAAATTGCACTTACACCTCTACTCTGTGCACTTTAATTCCTCTGGAACTCTATTAATGGATCTTGTATAGTAGCACTACTTGTATCGTTCTCTGCTTGATATATCGCTTTGCTTATTTGTAAGTCGCTTTGGATAAAAGCGTCTGCCAAGTGAATAAATGTAAATGTAAACCAACAAGTGTAGTACCACCAGGATCGTTTCCTACCAGAACTTGTGGAATTTTCCCATGTGACCATTTCCTAGCCTAGTATTATTATCAAAGGTTTTATTTTGTGACTATGGCCTCATGTGTGTAGCCTATAAGTAGACCCCACAACTTAAAGATCATCTTCTGGCCAATGGTCTACTTACAGTGAAGGAAAAAAGTATTTGATCCCCTGCTGATTTTGTACGTTTGCCCACTGACAAAGAAATGATCAGTCGAAGAGCTCCATTTTGGTCTCATCTGACCACAACACTTTCACCCAGTTGTGCTCTGAATCATTCAGATGTTCATTGGCAAACTTCAGACAGGCATGTATATGTGCTTTCTTGAGCAGGGGGACCTTGCGGGCACTGCAGGATGTCAGTCCTTCACGGCGTAGTGTGTTCCCAATTGTTTTCTTGGTGACTATGGTCCCAGCTGCCTTGAGATCATTGACAAGATCCTCCAGTGTAGTTCTGGGCTGATTCCTCACTGTTCTCATGATCATTGCAACTCCACAAGGTGAGATCTTGCATGGAGCCCCAGGCCGAGGGAGATTGAGAGTTCTTTTGTGTTTCTTCCATTTGTGAATAATCGCACCAACTGTTGTCACCTTCTCACCAAGCTGCTTGGCATTGGTCTTGTAGCCCATTCCAGACTTGTGTAGGTCTACAATCTTGTCCCTGACATCCTTGGAGAGCTCTTTGATCTTGGCCATGGTGGAGAGTTTGGAATCTGATTGATTGATTGCTTCTGTGGACAGGTGTCTTTTATACAGGTAACAAGCTGAGATTAGGAGCGCTCCCTTTAAGAGTGTGCTTCTAATCTCAGCTCGTTTCCTGTATAAAAGACACCTGGGAGCCAGAAATCCTTCTGATTGAGAGGGGGTCACATACTTATTTCCCTCATTAAAATGCAAATCAATTTATAACATTTTTGACATGCGTTTTTCTGGATTTTGTTGTTGTTATTCTGTCTCTCACTATTCAAGTAAGTCTACCATTAAAATTATAGACTGATCATTTCTTTTTCAGTGGGCAAACGTACAAAATCAGCAGGGGATCAAATACTTCTTTCCCTCACTGTAGTCATAGAACCATGGATACATATGAAACCTTCCGTTCCACTTTCTTACAGTCTAGATGGTCAGGGCCTAGACCACATATGTAGACCACATACAGTATCAAAACTTGTCACAAAGGTTTATAAAATGTCTTGATGTATTCGCCGGGCAGTGCTTATAATACATGCTGATAACTTTTTCTATACGAGGAATGATGACTGCTAAAAGCATCAATATTGCTCCCTATTAAGGATGATCAAATATGATATTGAGAGTGAGATTCACTCACGTGTTGATACTGGTCTTATCTGGAAAACAAGAATCACTTGACTCTTGATGCTGTTTATATTGATGATATGAAGTGGAGGCAGGCTTAATGTGATTTAAAAGTCTAAAACATGTTGGCACATATCAGATTCTGGATGTCTCCAAGACTCAGAATATACAACTTAAGGCCATT